GTGCCCTCGTGGCCAAAAAGGCCAATGGCATTCTGGGGTGCACTAAAAAGAGCGTGGCCAGCAGGTCGAGGGAGGTGATCCTCCCCCTCTACTCTGCCATGGTGAGGCCTCATCTGGAGCACTGCGTCCAGTTCTGGGCTCCCCAGCACAAAACAGACAGGGATCTCTTGGGAAGAGTCCAGCAGAGGGCCAAAAGATGGTGAAGGGCCTGGAGCATCTCTCCTATGGAGAAAGGCGGAGTGAACTGGGTCTATTTAGCCTTGAGAAAAGACGAATGAGAGGGGACCTGATCCAGGTCTATAAATATCTGAGGTGTGGGGGCCATAGTGGAGACAGGCCAGTCTCTTCAGTGGTATGTGGAGACAGGACAAGGGGAAACGGACATAAGCTGCAGCATAGGAAGTTCCGCACAAATATGCGCAAGAACTTCTTTACAGTGAGGTGACGGAGCACTGGAACAGGCTGCCTAGGGGGGTTGTGGAGTCTCCTTCTCTGGAGATATTCAAGTCTCACCTGGATGCCTTACCTGTGCTACCTGGTTTAGGGAACCTGCTTTGGCAGGGGGTTGGTCTTGATGATCTCTAGAGGCCCCTTCCAACCCCTACAATTCTGTGATTCTGTGATTCTGTGTGAATACCGATAACCAAAAATCATAAAACCATGACATTCCACCCCATATTCCACATCAATACATCATGCTTAATATGTACAAACAAACCATAATTACCAAAGATTAAACATACACACACACGTATATATATACATGGAATTACTGCCTGCACTCACCCAACATCAAATTCCTTTGTGGTACACACTGAACAACCCCATCTTTCTCCATCACCCACCAAGTGGACCCAGGTCCCTGGGCAAAAACAGTTCCACAAAGAGGTTTGCCCTTTCCAGAAGCTGGAAAGACACAAACTGCTTTTCCTAACATATTTTTTACATTTACTACAGGAACCTTATCTCCCTCTACAGTATGTAGGGAGCTAGCAGGACCATCACGACTGATCGATCCTCTGGTATTGACCAACTAGGCGGCTTCTGCCAAATGCTTCTCCCAGTGCTTAAATGTTCCGCCACCCAGTGCTTTCAGCATAGTTTTTAACAACCCATTGTAGCGTTCAATTTTACCAGAGGCTGGTGCATAATAGGGGATATGGTAAATCCACTCAATGCCATGATCTCTGGCCCAAGTATTTACAAGAGAATTTTTGAAATGAGTCCCATTATCTGACTCAATTCTTTCTGGGGTGCCATGTCTACACAGGACTTGTTTCTCGAGACCCAATATGGTGTTTCGGGCGGTAGCATGGGGTACTGCAAATGTTTCAAGCCACCCAGTGGTTGCCTCCACCACGGTAAGCAGATAACGCTTACCATTGCGAGATCATGGCAAGATGATACAATCAACCTTATTTATACTTTTGCCATCGCCCTTCCCCCCTAGAGAGGTTTCATCATCTTGGCTTGCTTAATCATGGCGCATGTGTCACAGACATAAATAATTCACCCTTGTTCTGCCAGTCCAGGTCTATTTGAGCCACCTCAATTTTGGCAGCTCGATCTACCTGTTGGTTATTTTGTTCTTCTTCAGTAGCCCAACTCTTGGGCATGTGAACATCTACATGATGCACCTTTACCACCATATTTTTTATTCAGGCAGCAATGTTTCTCCACAGTTCAGCAGCCCAAATAGATTTACCCCTCCGCTGCCAGTTATTTTGCTCCCACTGCTGTAACCACCCCCATAAGGCATTTGCCACCATCCATGAGTCAGTAGAAAGATAAAGCATTGGCCACCACTCCCGTTCAGCAACATCTAAGGCCAGTTGGACAGCCTTTACCTCTGCAAATTGGCTTGATTCTCCTTTCCCTTCAGAGGCCTCTGCAACTTGTCGTGTGGGGCTCCACACAGGAGCTTTCCATCTGCGATGCTTCCCCACAATATGACATGATCTGTCTGTGAACAGGGCAAATTTCTTTTTATTTCCTAGTAGTTCATTGTATGGTGGGGCTTCTTTCTCATGGGATACCTCTTGTGCAGGTGATATTCTGAACTTTTTGCCTTCAGGCCAGTCCATGATCACCTCTAGGATTCCTGGATGGCTGAGGTTCCCCATGTGAGCTCGTTGTGTCCTCAACACAATCCACTTACTCCAAGTGGCATCAGTAGCATGATGGGTGGAGGGAACCTTTCCTTTAAAATCCAGTTCAGCACTGGCAGTCGAGGTGCCAGAAGGAGCTGTGTTTCATTACTGATTACTTCAGAAGCAGCCCAAACCTCCTAATACACGGCTAAGATCTCCTTTTCAGTTGGAATGTAGGCCCCTTATAATTTTCTGCTCCACCTGGATACTAATAGGTCTTTCCCTTAATCTGAACTCTCCCACAGTGGTCTGGAGAGTCAGACTCGAAAGGATGTCTATCCCCAATATAAACTCTGGAGTTCGGCTGTCACAGAGTTAACTAGATCAATCTATGCCCATGACAGGGGGGCAGTAGGCCTCTGGGACCCCCCCGCCCCACAAAATGGGAAGTGAAAGGGAAAAGGGATAGGGAGATGGGAGCTGGGCTCAATGAAGGAAATAAACAGCGGCAATGATCATTGGAGGAAAACTTATTTTACTGACTATGACATTGGAATTCAAGATAACACAATATAATACAGTTTAATTGAAATTGAGACTAATAAATCAAATAAAATAGGAGAGAGAGAGTTCCTGAGGCTGAGTCAAACCTGAAAAGCTTAGAACGGCTAGGAAAGCACCTTCCAGCACCCACTGTAAGGCAATAAGAGATCACCCAATCAGGAAGGGCCAGATCCTGTGACTTCTGCAATGTACAGGGATGGGCACCTGGAATTGGGGCAGTGACACTTTAACTCCCAGTGCGCTACATGATGTTATGATGTGGAATACTGAAAACAAAAAAAACACAAAACCACGTCATGGGGCAATAGACATCTTGTATATGAGGAATGCAGCCTTCTTCCGTTTGAATTCTGGCACGCCAGGGAGTGGGGGGGGGGCAACTCGTGCAGGTTTAGAGTGCTTGTGCGCTCCCAGTAGCATGGCCAGAAGCACCACCAAGGGGGAGAGAGAAGGGTGGATCTTGGGTCCTCCCCCTCTGTCCCCCACTCTAGGCACTCACATGCTCACCTACTGGTTCAGGCTGTGACCTGGCATTTCCACTGCACTGTGCAATGGAGATTATGGTGTTTTCTCGTTTGTTTTTTTTTTATATGTATACAGCTTTCCTTAGAAATAACCTTCTTCAAGTCTGCTCAACTCTAAATGCAGGAGAGGAAATAAAGTGCTGTTAGAGAGCTGATAATGTAATAGTAATGCTTTTTCTATATTAACTTCATGCTAACACTGAGAGAAGACCAGGACTATAAAATAATGTTTGCCATGAATTCCAACTTGTTAAGTACTTAAATTGTATTAGCTCTTTCAAATTTATTTTTATTTAATATGAAAAATGTGTTTGATACTATGACAAATAATTAACTGTTATATTATTTTCAGTATTAAAGATGAGTGGCAAATGCAAGTTAGAGAAAAATTCTAGTATCTGGATAACTTCATTTGTATACTCCATTTGCTTGCTACAATTGCAGCTGACGCTTCCTGTGTTAGTTGCTTAGTTTGCTGTCTTCAAGACTGACAACTAACTGAACAAGACCCCTCTTCTTACTTTAACAGCAGAAAGAAAATCATTGGTGCGTGGTTTCAGTTTGCTGTTCCTTAATGTTCTGTTGGTTGAATTGGCATAGCAGCATAACAGTAGTACGATTGCCTTTAGATGCAGGAACTTTTAACAAATTAGTTTGTAGCAGATGCTTAGAACTTTGACACTTAATTCAGATATTTGTTGCCGAGAGGATTCCTGGGGAGACAGATTCCCTTTAGTTTTCCAATCCACCTCCTCAATGAAACTCACATCCACTCCCCTGTGCAATGTCAAACTGAGTTGTGGAAACAAACTCTATAACCACAAAGTAGTTATAGAGCAGGTATGTTATTCAGTGCCGCGCACATGCTGGGTGCAAGGAGGATAGCCCCTTCCTAGCCTTATTTATAGAAGGAATACATACATATTCATAGTATTTCTAAGACAAGGAGTGGCTATTACAATTACTTCTGGGAATTCATTACAATATTACACGTGCATTCTACAACCCAAACCCCACCCCTAACTAATGCTTCTACACATGCGTGGTGCCTCCTGGTGGTTGCGGGGATGAAGGCCGTATGTCATCCTCACTGTTTACTTCTGACCCTGGTGTCATTTGAGGAAGTATTCCAACTTCAACTGGTTCTGTTTCTAGGATATGGCTCCTTGGACCAATCAGCAAGCTCCCCAGGTTACGGTTGATGCACCCCATATCTTTCCCATTGTTCATGCTCAACTACTTTTACAATTTTAACAATATAACAAATTAGCCCTTTATTCAAAACTGTTCTATATAATCATAGATATCAGGTTGACTGGATGGACACTGCTGAAGTTTTTTAAGGACTGTGGAAGGTGCAAGATGTGAGATTAAAGCAGTGCATATTCACTAGTTTAAGAAAGCTAGATTGTTATTTCTTCAGCTTCTAGCAAAACCCAGTTCTCCTTGTTCTGGACAGTATTTAACTTTCATTAATCTCCTCATATAGACTTTACATTTTTTGCTTCAAATTGTCATCCAAGATTGAACTCAAATATGCTTGTCAAATTATCGAGCATTTAATGCTTTTTCATGTGTAAACAAACTTGGATTGAACATCTATTTCAAGTGTTGGACGCTTGTATTGCAATGAATTTAAACAGGTGATATTTGTTTTCATTCTTTTAGTAGAAGATCAGAATCCCTGAGTAAGATAATGGTTGGTTATAATCAATACGTACTAGGTTTTTAAAATAAAGATTAATTCATACACGCCAGAGCCTTAGATGTGTCAACAACCAAATGAGTGCTGATAGCCTTGCTTTCTATTTTTCTCTTTAAGATGGTTCCATGGGAAGATCTCCAAACAAGAAGCTTACAGTTTGCTGATGACAGGTACTTGTATTTGAGGTGGAAATAGTGATAGTGGAATGGAATAAGGCAATCTGATTTATGCCATACTGCATCAAAACCTGCTTTTCTGTATGAACGTATGACTGGACCTGTAGTTGCTGCTCCAGTACAATGTTACGTTAGGGGGAAATCAGACAGGTGGAATAAACAAAAAAACAAAACTCATGGCTATGAATATTGAGTATTTTTATGTTCTCAAGTATAGTTAACTATGTAATTTCAAGTGAAACTATTAAATGTATTTTAAATATATGCCTATTAGTAATATTTTGGAGTTCATCAAAAGGCCAAGGAGAAAATACTTTTATATTTATAGGAGAATGTATTATAAACTTTTTTGTCACCTCAGAAGAAATAATTATTTAAATGAAAACATCAAGATTTGACTCACACAGTCAAATATCATAGCTCAAATATTAGAATAAAAATATTTTAGCTTTCTTAAAACATTATTGATTTTTTTCTCCCCTGTACCCATGCTCTTGTAAAGGGGTGGCAAACCAGTGGATAGGTTGTATGTTATAGCCGATTTTTGCATCAACTTTGACAGTTTAGTACTACACCCCATTTGGTGGAAGAACAGAGATTGCTAAGGGAACTTCAGACTTTAAGTGTACAGTTTTTGATAATTTGTATAACTTCGATAAGCGATCATAGATGATACTAAGTAATAGTTGAATAATGCTGTTATCATATTTTTTCAGTTGGTCAGGTGTGCAGTTTTCTTATAAGACCTTCAGATAATACACCTGGTGATTATTCACTTTATTTTCGGACCAGTGAGAACATTCAACGTTTTAAAATATGCCCAACTTCAAACAATCAGTTCATGATGGGAGGCAGATATTATAACAGGTAAGTTTTAAGTTGTATTTTCTAATTTTGTAAAGAATTTATGTACTGATACATCATAAAATCTCAGTATTTGTTAAAAACGTACAAAATATTTTACCTAACTTGCTAGTAGTTATTTGTAACTAAGTATGTTTCAAATGCCTAAGTGTAACATGCTTTTTTGAAGCACTTGTCTTCTGTAAATGAGTTTCTTCACTCTATAAATTGGATTATTACACATAATTAAGAAAATGCAGTGTTGTCTTGGAAGCTGTTTATAATAGGAAGCTTTTTGTATGTGAGGGGAAAATAGAAACGAGTATTATTCGTGACATTCAAGTATTTTTAAGTATTAATAATAGAAATAGACATTCCCAGGATAAATGGAAATAGCTTGAAATGGGCAGAGGGCAGATTTAGACTAGATATTATGAAGAAATTCTTTACTGTGAGAGTGGTGAGACACTGGAGCAGGTTGCCCAGAGAGGTTGTGGATGCCCCCACCCTGGAGGCATCCAAGGCCAGGCTGGATGGGGCTGAGAGTAACCTGGTCTAGAGGGAAGCATCCCTGCCTATAGCAGGGGGTTGTAATGAGATGATCTTAAAAGGTCCCTTTCAACTCAAACCATTCTATGATTCTATATTTATAAGAAAGGGGAAAATTATTTTCATTTTTTGAAAAAAGTAATTAAATTGCATTAAAACATGTGAATGATCCTTTGGTCAGAAGTGTAGATTGCTTCATTGAGAGTGATGAAACTTGGGATGGGTTTCTTTTGCTATGGATGTAAAAACATGGTAATATGTACAAAAAGTGACAAGAAGTAACATTTCCGCTTTCATGGAAGAAGCTATTGATACAGCTCTATCCTCGATAGTCCTTATTAGAGTTGTCATAGACTCAAGAATTCTCAGTACTGAAAACTCACTCTTTTAAATAGAGTACACTGCCTGTCACACAATCAAATTTTCCAGAATGTTCACCTAGAACCAGAGTATTCTTCATTCCAATAGAAAATTTCTCTCACATCCAGCTTGGCTTCCGAATGGGTAGAGATACAACTAGTGTGCCTTGAGAAAAAATAAAAAAATGAAAAAAATCAGAGCCTCTAAATTAAGAAGTTCAGTGATTACTTCATATAACTTCAAATGGACAATGGTGTGAGGCTAAACAATGGGAACCTTATTAAACTACGCACATCCCACACGCAGGCTACTTGAGTATCTTCTACATTAATCAGCTGTCAACGGTTTACAGGCTGGTTTGGCCCAGTTCCATGACTAGTGAGGAGGAGGGACTTCGCAGAATCTGCGCCTCCGGAAAAAGGGAACAGGGGACCCCAGAATCATTAAAAACAGCAGCAACGATCTGAGGAGAAACAAACTAACTTACTAAATATGGTATCGGAATGCAAGATAACACACCATAACACAATATAATTAGAATTGAAGCTAATAAATCAAATATAATGAGAGAATGTCCGAAAGGTTGATAGGCCTCACCACAACGTTGAGGTGAGATGCGCAGTGCAGTTGAGCAGCAGGGAGACGAGAGGAGAGCCGATGAAGAAGAGTGGACAAAAAAAGCAAATCAGGTGACCTTGCCAGGAGTTCTATCTCCTCTCTGTGACCGCAAAGTCCCCTGTGGGGAATGTAGTTCTTCTCCTCTTCCAGACAGGTACCCAGAACTTGAGCATTAACAGTTAAACTCCCAGTGCCCCACATAATGTTATGATGTGGAATACCGAGAGCCAAAAAAATCACAAAACCATGACATCAGTCTGGACTCTAGACATCCTCATTGAAGGAAAAAAAAAAATTAATTAATTAATTAAATAAATAAATAAAATCAAGCTACAATATCAGCCTTCCATGAAGGTAAATGCTCTTCTACCCATTCTCTACTTATAGGGCTTATTGGAAGGACGATGGACTAGAAGCCCCCATGCTAGGTGAATCAAACTAATTAGTAAATTAGCGGAAATCATATTAGTCTCAAAGGGTTTTGCAGCATTAGGTAGTACAGCTTCAGAAACTTATTGCAGTAAGTTGATGCTTTGGGAAACTAATTGCCCACTGCTGGATTGGCTTAAAACACGTATATAAAATATATTTATCTGAAGATTCTCAATTTTGAATGGAAAACAAGATAAAAGTTAAGAAGCACCAAATCATGACTGTATGCTTTAAGAAGTTACTTATGTAGATGCTCTCAAGGAACTGACTTTAAAAATCTGATACTAGTGTTAGACTAGAACTCCAAAAAACCATATTTAGTATTTCTCTTAACTTTCTTCTCTTGCTGTTTTAGTGATTGTAAATGAAAATTTTAAAAAGGATAAATTAAGTCTGTTTGTTTGTTTGTTTTGTTTGTGGACAACTATGGTAGGAGTCACATCACTATAGTTGATTGGAGTCACATAATTACAGACCAAGATTTTTGATACAAAAGAACTTCAAGAAGAGTAAGGAAAACAACAAAAATATGATTGCTCTATTTTCCAGGTAGTGTGAAGAACCACACATGGAAACACAGAACCTGATACTTGATAGCATGAATGAGCAATACTATCCCTGCCTAAAACCACCCTGGGTGATTAGAGGGGGGAAGGGTAAAGAAATGTGGTGGCAGATGACCAGTTGTAAATAACCCAAAAAAGAATGACAGTCACAACCTAGCCAAAGAAAGAACAATTTGCTTATTGATTCTAAGGTACAGAACTTACCAAACACTCCACAAAGAAAGAGCTCTACTTTGAGATCCTTCCATTATGACAGCCAGCCCTTAAATGAGGCTCAGGGAGGGGTGGAAACAGCTTCTGGTCACACAGGTGAATTGCTTTCACCTGTGCTCCCAGGGCTGACAGTCCCTTCACCAGGTGGTCAATCATTGCTTCAGGCTGTGACTTAGCAATTCTCACACACTCCACCCCTTCACTGCCTGAACTAATGGTTGAGATATCAGGGGCAAGCTATTCTGTACAGTTTATAATGTAACAGATGTTATTTAATATCACAACTTTTCCCATCATGACATAAAGAGCCCAGAATTGTCAATTACTTCTTTTCAGCTTGAAAAATGTTCAAAAAATCCATAATTCAATGTCACTGAAGAACAGAATCATAATGTTGTGAATATCCTTCAGTGGCACTGGGACATATTGGTGTTCACTCATGCTGTGTCTGCCTCTGCTGGTGGTCTTGGTGAGCCATAGATCTCACGAGGAGTAGAATAAGTGTTTAGTTGGTACCAGTATGGGCAAGACTGCTATCCGTGGTAGAATGCACGTGGTATTTCTGTCTTGCATTAATATTTCTGCTTGCACAGCAGCATGCCAGGTCTCATATACCATACCTTTTGTTCTGATGTTGATGCTTGCATTACTATATCAGGTACCAAAGGGGGGGGAGGTTCCAGTTTGACATAATGATATGATTAGTGTCCCCTAGCTACCAAAATTGGAGTTTGCACTGTTATTTCTGAGGGCCATTTGCCAATTACATGCGGGATGACTATTGCCCCTGCTTCTAACAGTCTCCTACAAGGTGCAACCAGGCCACACCACTTGGGTCCTACTTGTACTTCCCAAGGCTACTTTATCATACATGTACCTGGTTTAACTTGATGTCATTTTCTTTGGCCCATTTTTGTATCACCGTTCCTGTGAAATGTGTACCCTGGTTGCTCTCGATGACTTGTGGAGTCCCATATGCTGCCATCAATCTGGTTAAGGCCTTGATAGCATAGGCTTGATTCATTTTTGGTACCGAATAGGCTTGCATCAGCCCACTTGCCATATTGACACAGGTCAGTGCATATCTGGCCCCCTCAGATCAAGGAAGAGGGCCTATATAATTGACTTGCCGCCATTGTAAAGGGTTGTGTCCCCTGGCAAGGTGTGCTGTTGTCTCCAGCAATGGTCTTGGTCTCATCCTCAAGCAAGCATTGCAATTGCGTCATGCCTGAATGCTACCTGATGTTTGCATGAGCATCCCCCATGCTTTATCTACTGCCCACATCTCCTTCTGTCTGGCACGTCACAGCTTTTGATGTAGCCAGTGGGCTATGTTTTCCATAGGTGAATCTTCTAACCATCTAATTTGGGTGAAAGTGTTGACTTCATCATTTCCTGGTGACTGCATGGACTGATGTCCTGATATGTGGTAAGCCTGTACTGTCCTATGCCAGACCACCTTCCAGATATCCAACCACATATCCTAGCCCCAGATTGGTCAGGCATGAATTGTCCAGTTCTGAGCAGCCCAGTGTGCTATCCAGAGCATCTTCAGTCCCTATACAGGACTTCTCTGGTAGAGTGACAACAGTTTCTTCATTACTATGTACATCACTATGATATGTGACTGGGTCCAATATCTTTTGTAGTTCTTTTAACGGAGTTGGGGATAAATGATTATGCTGACCCAGATAGACGACCCAGAGTGCCACTTTTTGCACTTGGGCCACTCCCATCTTCAGAATACATTCTAAAACTTATATTCAACCTTGACTGGGTAGTATTGTTTCTACTATTCCTTCAGCTGTTTGAGTAATCGGTTCTACTGCCTGTGATACTGAATATATTGCTAATAGCTGCTTTTCTATCATACTACATCTCTCCACTGCCCCGCGTCAGACCTGCGGTCAGAACCCAAGTGGGGTACAGACAGAACCCTGATGCTACCACAATCCCCACCCAACCCTTCCTGGGTTATGCGTACATCTAACTCGACAGGGGTTGAATACACTGAGTGTTTGCCATTGTTTCACAGCTAGTTTGGCTTGTTGGAAAGTGTCACGGAGTTGACTAGATCAATCTATGTCCCTGACAGGGGCGACAGGCCTCTGCCCTCCCCCCCCACCCCAGTCCCACAAAGATGGGAAGGAAAGAAGGGAGGGAAAGAACAGCAGCAACAATCTATGGAGAAAAACTTATTTTACTATGATACCGGAATACAAGATAACACAATATAATGCAGTTTAATTGAAATTGAGACTAATAAATCAGACAAGATGAGAGAGA